TCAGCCACCGACTCCTGCGAGCCCCCCCCTTGCTGCAGCCACCACCCACAGCTACACCCCAGCAAACATGGCCCTGACGTGATGTGCCCCTCCCTGCTCGGACGAGTCTGGTATCTCTGAGGAAAGAGATTTTTCAGGTTCCCGTCCCTCTCCTGCTCCACAGCTCTCAGCCCCGTCTCACTGCCCAGCAGCAGTGCACCCTGCCCTGCACCCCGTGCTTTGCTCCCTGCAGGTGACACAGCTCTGCCAAGCATGACAGAGCACTTGTGGACATCTCTCAGGGTGACAGGTCCTCTCAGCACAGCTGAGCTCTGAGTCTGTCAGCGGTGCTGCACAGAGCAGCATCAGCCATGGTGCTCAAGGGTACAATTAAACAGGAAGGGATTAACTGTCCAGGGTCAGCAAAGTTCAGGTTGATCTTTGCTAGGGTGTTCCCACCACAAGACCCTCCAAGATGCCCACAGGCTCTCTGCCCAGACAAGCTCACCTGGCCTGCAGGGCCCAGCGCTTCACAGCACCCCCGATCACATCCTCTCCACGGGAAGCCTCCCTGCTCAGGGCACTGAGAAGGTTCTCTTCAAAGGAAAGGGGCTGCTTGTTCCTGCTCTGCTCGGCAAAATCTGGGAAGAGGTGAAGAGCTCACCAGGGTGGGAAGAAGCGATGCCAGCAGGGAGCCGTGGAGCTGGTTGCAGGAGAGAGCAGCAGGGAGCGGTGCGAGGAGTCAGACCTGGCGACAAGGCTGCCAGGACAGCGCGCAGGCTCCGTGGAGGAGACAGTACCTGCCCGTGCACCGAGATGTCGAGGCGGATGCCGTAGAGCTTCAGCAGGGTCCGGTAGAGCCGCCGCTGGGAGTCCCAGTAGTAGGAGGCAGTTCTGCGGGATCAGAGAATCACAGAATGCTGGGGGCTGGAAGGGACCTCTAGAGATCACCCAGGCCAACGCCTTGCCAGAGCAGGGTCACCCAGGCCACAGCCACACAGGAACATGTCCAGGTGGGGTCTGAAGGTCTGAAGGTCTCCAGACCAGGAGACTCCTGGGCAGCCTGGACCAGGGCTCCGGCACCCGCACAGGGAAGAAGTTCTTCCTGACGTTGAGGAGGACCTTCCCACATTCTAACTTAAACCCATTATTTCTTGTTCTATTGCTGGGCACCACTGAAAAGAGACTGTCCCCTCTCTCTTGATCTCCTTCCCCTTGAAACTTTGGGAGATATTGGACGTGTCTCAGAAAGCGAGGGAAGGGGGCTGCCAGCACTGGCCGATTGCTGGGGCTGCCTCATGCCCCGTGTCTCCAGCCGGCTGGCAGGTGGGTGACACCCTGCTGCTGGGACTCACTAGCAGTGGGGCATCAGCGTTCACTCAGCACCAAGCCCGGGGTCACTGGGAGCACCAGTGCGTCCAGTTCAGGGTCAGCACAGACGTGGACAGCCACACGTCAGGCAGGCAAGGTCTGGCCCAGCTGCCCAGCAGAGCTACGAGCTGCAGGCGCTCCCGCAGCAGCCCGGTACCGACAGACTCACACCCCCTTGTCCCTGCTGCTCCTTTTGGAGCATCAGCCAGGAAAATCGAGATCTCAAAACAAGTGCCGTGTGCTCAACCCACAGGCCCGTGGCGGCCCCTGGCCAAGCATCCTCACCTAAAATTGTACCTCCTGTCCTGCAGGCTGAAGGAGTACTGTGGCTGGCACTGAGCAGCGGGGCGATCCAGGTCGCAGTCCCACTCGATGCGAACTCCGATGCTCCCCCCCTGCAAAACCCGTTTTATTCTGGGAGAAGCACGAGATCGGAAATTTGCTGGGTTCTTTGCTGTTTGGACACTCACAGATCACACATTCCCTTTGCATTCCAGGGGTTGGTCCCGCCCCCCATCCCTTGCCCACTCCTAGGGGAATTTGGAGTCATCTTCCATACTTTTAAAAAAGTAAGTACCAGCACCGCGAGGTCTCCAAAGGTCTCTCCAGCTGCCTCCACCATGTCACGGACACGGAAGATGGGGCAGGAGGGGTTGAAGAACGGATCGTACGTGCAGTTCTTGAAGTAAGTGGAGTCATTGGTTTGCAAAGTATTGCACCTGGGACAGGACAGAGAGAGAGGGAGAGGTGTCACGGGTGGAGTGTGGGGTGGGAGGGCAGGGAGCCCTGCTGCAGGGTGAAAACATCACCTTCCCACCGCCTGCGGCGCTCCGTCCCCCCACCTTCACATCTGCAAACGCAGGTGCCGCTGTAGCGAGCACGTTCTCCTGAACTCACCATCCTGAGCTCCAAGGGCCCGAGCCACCCTCCGTCCCGGCAGGCACACGGCTTCTCGCCCCCCCCCA